GCATTAAAAAAGGTTGGTAACTGCTATTTTTCAACAGCATGTCCTCTTAATCATTGTTTCATTGTGGGAGACAGGGATCATTGGTGATGGAGAGATGTGGATGTATGGCGGTTCTATAGTAATCCTTTGTCTCTCCTGAATAGGTTCTCCGCATCCAGAATATTCTCTCAGAGAAGCCCACAGTAACCACAGTTTATGCCAACAATGGATCTGTTCTCCAGGGAAGTTCTGTGGCCTCAGTATACGATAGGAAGCTGCTCATAGGCACTTTGTACCACAGAGCCCTGTATTGTGAGCTCTAACATGGACTTTGGGTATGCAAGTGTGCTCACTTCTCTTAACAATTAGTTTTCAATAAATGGCTCGTTCTGAGGGAATTTAACTAGTAAAGCTGAGCCAGGATGTATGACGTGTATAGTTAATTTTATTTCAGGAAGGAAAGGCCCCTTCAGTCCTTGTTGCACTTTTAACATAAAGGAAAATGAACAGGTTTTCTTTTTAAATGCCAAGTAAAGGAGAGAGAAGAAAGCTGCTTTCGGTAAAGTGAATATACTTTGCACAAAATAAGCCTCACCTCCTTCTTCCAACTGCCAGAGCATGAATTCCACTGAATCAGGGTAGATCCCATTTCCTTAAAATGTGAGTGACCTCTACTCTAACAGTGTGACCCCGTGACTGTTCGGAACTACTGATAGGTAACGTGTGTGGATATTTTGTACTTACATCATTGTTTACTATTAAAGAGTTGGAGTTATATTAAAAACTAACTAAAATCCTATAATAATTTGGTCTGTGTTTCATTCTCAAGGCAGGTCCTCAGGGACTATGGGAAAGTGGCTGTTTCCTCGTGGAGTTTCTTTGGGACAAGCAGGCATGGCAATGTTTGGCAATGTTAATTTCTCTCCTTTCTCATTGAGAGCTGAATGTAAATGAGCTCTTTATTTGAATAAAATAAAACAATCAACTAAATGGGGCAACTCAAATTCTCCATTGGTATGGAGTGTTCCATCAGCTCTCTGCCTACTTTGCTTACAAAGAAGAGATCAATGTTGGGGCTGGAAGGTAAAGCAAACTCCTCATTGAACTCAACTGTGAACTTCATCAGGAGAGATTGAAGTCAGCTGTCCAGGGCCTAGTACAGTTCTTTCCACTGACTGTACTTCCTATTTCCTATAAAACCACCTTAAGCCCTTGAGAGAGACTTTCCATTGTAACTTACCAAAAAGCACTTTACTTCACTTCTCATGGTATTCCCCATCTTCAGCATCATTATCATCAAAATATTTGTGTTACTTACCAAGTGCCAAACAATGCACTAAAAATGGTCCATTCATTATCTCGTTTAATCCTAAATACAGCCCCGAGAGAGTAGGTATTGATATTATATCACTGTTAACATTTCACAGATGTTCAGTCACACACCCAGTAAGGGGTGGTCCTCTATGTCTGATGCCAGAGGCTGTACCAGCTCCCACTTTACAGAAAGCTACCGCCACAGAACTAACGAGTATCTTGTTATTGACTCTTTTCTCTCATATACAGTTTATTTCATTTTTTTACATATTAGTTGGATTTCTGCTTTTAGATGAGTCATTTAATGGCTTTTTAATGTAAATTACAGAAGTTTTCTTAAACCTGGCCTCTGTTCATTTGGCCTGTGTTTACATTTTTAAATACTCAGTTACTAACATACCTTGGAACTATTTTTTGCTAAAATAATTACAGTTTTTTGCTGTTTCCATTATCCATAGGAAAATGTTAAGTCATAGATGAACAAAGCAAGATTAAATACTATTCACTAGGGATCCAAAACCAAGTAGCATAAATTTTAATTTTAGATTATAACAATGACTGTCTAAAAAGCTACTTTTGTTAAAAGTACCAGAATACAGTAGGTACAAAATAAACTTGTTTTTATTGTACTTATTAGAAATTTTATTTGGACAAAAGTAATATAAGTTAATAAGCACATATATTACTTGTCTTAGAAATACAAAAATAATTTTTAAAAAACTTTGGCCTCTGGGCCATGAAGGGTTCTATTTTATCATAAGTATATTGTGTGTTTATTTATGGTGCTCTTACTGTGATCATGTATTGAGTTTTAACAATTTGGTTGGTTATTAAGAGATCAAGTCATTCAAAAAGACTGAAATTGCAATTGGGCTATGCCACCACCAGGTGGATATAGGTCGAGAGCACATGTGTGTGCGTGTGCGTGTGTGTGTCTGCATGCTAATTCCTTTTAATCCGAGATCCGGTTCAGTGACAATAAATATCCTTTTGTTTTTTCACAGTACCTCCATTCTTCTACAACAGCTAAATGTAAACATGAATATCGAATACAGGGAACAAGGAAAATAAAATATAAGCTATATTACAGCATTTTTTTTCTCATTTTGTGTATTGCTTATGTAACTGGTTAATAATAAATAATCTAAGGCCGATCTTTTTTCTAGAGTTTGACTTGTTGAGTTTAATTATTTCTTGGAGTCACAACCTACCTAGGCTGGGGAATGTGTACTTGGCAAAGCAGTGAAGAACTAATAGCACCCACCACCACACCACCCACCTCCACCTTTCTTTGGCTACTTGTAGTTTTCATTACTCACTTGGCTTTCCATGAAAGGATTTCCATGTGTGAGAAGGAGAAGGGTTGGGAGAAGCCCAGTAGCTCTCTTAGCTTCCTGCTCCTGGTTTTCAAGATTTTTATTCTATAAAAAGAAGGCAGAGAAGAAGATAAAAGAGCCTACTCTAGTTTTTAACTACAAAAAAATAACTTTCAGTTCACTTTAAAATTTTTAGTATACTAAATAGCTTTTCTGTAGCTATCCCTGAGTTAGGCATTAGGATACAATAGTGAACCAGACACTGCTTATATTCTAAGAGATTCAACAAATGAGAAAATAGATGATTAGATAGATAGATAGATACATAGATAGAGTGATTAGAAGGAACTAAGCAAATGTGATTAGAGAACAATTTAGAGAAACCAATCCTCCCCAACTTTGAAAAGTTTAGAACTGGGGAAAAATTGAAAAGCCAGTTCAATGACTACCTGTATTCACTTTACCTATATCTACCAATCACCAGCTATCAATTTGCAACATTGCTTTGTTTTTCCAAGTATAGAGGCTTTTATTTTTCTGAGTCATTTGAAAGCAAGTTGGGGATACCATAAAAAAAGCATTTAATACAACTAACCTACTGAACATCATAGCTTAGCCTAGCCTATGTTAACCATGTGCAGAACACAATATCCGAAATACACCGTCAACACAGTACACTGTAGAACAGTGATTTTCAACCTTTTTAAAAAATCTCATGGCACACATAAACTAATTATTAAAATTCTGCGGCACAATTACATATTTGTGCTGATCCAACAAAAAATAGGTATAATTTTGATCCTTTCACATCAGAAAGCTATTGTGTTGGCTGCTGTCATTTATTTTATTTGACAATCTAAGGGAAAAGAGGTCAGTGCCCCTGATTAAATAGTTATTGCATGTTTTAAAAATTATTGTGGCACACCAGTTGAAAATCACATCTGTAGAATTGCAGCTGTTTACCCTGGTGATTGCATGGCGGACAGGGAGCTGCAGCTCACTACCGCTGCCCAGCATATGAGAGACTATGCTACTGCATATCACTAGCCCTGAAAAAGATCAAAATTCGCAAGTCCAAGTACAGTTTCTACTGAATGTGCATCACTTTCACACCTTTGTAAAGTCAAACAATGGTGAATCAAACTATTATAAGTCAGGGACTGTCTGTACTGCAAAATTAATATCCTTGCAGTCATCCTTGATTTTGTCTTTGTCCTTAAGCATCAGAAGCTTGACCTGATTCTATCTCCAACTGAGAGCTCAAAGCTGTTCTCCTATCTCCACTGCCAGCCCCACGTTGAGCCCTCGATTACTTCTTATCCAAAAGTTTTCCAAGTGAGCACCTCTGTACCAGTATTTTCCCTCTCCAACCCATTTCCTATCTACCCCATAGATCAGGGGCCACCTTTTCTTCTCTTACTATCTCCAGGCCGGGTCAATCCTGTTCTCTCAACACACATTTACTCAGTTGAACTCACTAGAACTACCATTTCTTTCAGTTCCAGGTTGAGTGAATCCTGTTCTCTCAACACACATTTACTCAGTTTGAATGCATTAGAACTACTGTTTCTTTCTGTTTGTAAATAAAAACAGATCATGCCAGAAGATGCTACTTTGCTTTGCTCAGACTCCTCAGCCTTCCCCACCCTCAGCCCCTCTCCCCCCAGCCTGGTCATCTTTAGGAGAGGGGACATGCATTCTTCACCTGGTAGGAACAGAAGACCCAGAAGAAAGAAGGATCAAGGAGGCTTTTGATAGCCTAACTGCCACCCAAAGCTATCCCCCCCCCACACACACACACACCACCACCTACTCTGCTCAACTTCCTGTAACTTAGTCTATTTTTTCCCCACTTTTCCCAATTTTTCATTATTCCATCAACAATGGTGTTGGTGGCGGGGTTACTGATAGCCACAAATCCACCCATCCAACAAATTGACCTGGGTGTCCGCCCTATTCAGATTGGGAAGCAGGACGCGAAGGCCTTGTTCTAGGGAACTTGGAGAAGGGTGTGTTAAAGCTCTACGCTTCGATTATGTTATATGCATTTGTCAGCTCTCCCACTGTCTTGAGAGCAATTCTCCAGCTCAACTCACTTCTTGCCTTCCAGAAACCTGATGTTGGGGCTCGGAACGCGTTCCCGGAGCTCCCGGCAGTTCATTTGAGGAGCTGAGCTTGAATTACGCAGCTTTTAGCAGCAAACTCCCTCTATCCACCCACCAGTGGGTGTGTTCTTGGCAAAGCTGCCAAGAGAAGGAACACCAGACTTTTACCTGCGGCTCCGGGATCCCTCTCTGTACTTTGAGCCTTGAAGAAAAAGAGAAAAGAATCCCTGTACTTTGCGCCCTGAAGAAAAAAAAAAGAAGAAGAATCCCGCTAGTCAAGGTTTCTCCTTGAACTTCACGCATAAAGATGACCTTGAATCTCCTGCGTAAAGGCAGCCTTGGGTTCCCGCACCCCCACAGAGAGATAGCCTTACCTGGGGCAGTGGGACGGGGAGTGGCCGAGACACCCACCGCAGCCGGGCGTCCCGGCAGCGCACCTGCCAGGTGGTGCGGACGGGCGGGGCGGGCGGCGATCACGGGGCGGGTCTGGGAGCCTGTCCGCCCCGCCTCCCGGAGGACCCTGCTCCGGCAATCGGCACTGGGTACCCGGGACTATGGGGAAGCTGGTGGTGCTGACCCTGCTGGGGGTCGGCCTGGCCCTGGTCGGGGAGAGGTTTGTGGCGTTCAGGTGAGTTGAGTCCCCAGGTGAAGTAGGTCAGGGCTGCCCGGTGCCGGCTTCCTAGCAGGTAGGAATAGAAATGGACCGTTTTGGGGACTTAACTCCTCAATGCCACCCAGCAAACTGATGTGGAAAGTGAGCTAAGTACTTGCTTTTCCTAAGATATCCGGTCAGGAATGCCCCCATTTATTTTCTGAAAGTCACCCTCCCAAGCCCTCCTTCCAAGTCGCTCTCAGCATTGGGGTAGTGAAGACCTAGGGGGTGGGTAGGGGCTGAGGGGAGGGGTGAAGGGGGGGGGAGAAGGGAGGATAATGGGAGATATCTCAATGGGAGGTATCTGTAATACTATCAAGAATAAAAATACATTAAGAAAAAATAAAAATACATAAAAACTCCGCGGGAAGCACTGGATTTGAGAGAAGCGACTACCGGATGGATGTTTGAGGCAGACTCTGACATGGCCCAGGGCCTGTTTCACGTTGAGGAGGGCTGGGTTGCTGAACTCATCCCAGATTAAGAGCTATTCAGACAGGAGGGGAAGGAGCTGAAATTTGCATATGTTAACTGGCATTTTGTAGGTATCTGACCTTTTGAAGTGGAAGATCTAGTGGTGATAGAAATATCTCAGGAAGAGTCAGTACTGGGCTCAGAAGAAGAAATGTTAGGTGCTGCTACACACTTCTGAGCAGATCTAAAAGCTCCGTTTGTCTTCAGTTGTCTTAGGGGAGCTTTTATTTATTTCTCTAAGTAGAAGCTGGAATCTCTTGAGGAGGCTGATGCCGTTTGGTAATACTTTCTAGTTCAGCTTGAGTATGTTCATTGTAACATTGCTCCCAGTGCACCTGAGTGAGAGACTCATAAAAACAATTATTATTATAAAGAATATCTAAGGTATATTTTTAAAAAGTAACAGTAAGATAAGTCTGTGTGTAGAGTCTTCCTGAATACTGTTTAATACAAATTTAAACTTATCCCTGGTATTTAAAAGAAAGTTTCACTGGGGAAACAAGAAAACTGTATTGAAAAATAATATGGCCAGTTGTTTAGATTTTGGTCAGTTGGATAAGTTGCAAAGTAAGTCAGCATAAAAATTTTAAAATAATAAAGTTAAAGCAAAGGCTACAAGATTTAGTTATTAGGGGGGGTTAAATGTGGGGAAATCAGTTTGAGAGGGGGAGGTGGGTTAAAAGGCAAAGACATAGTGGATTAAGGGGAGTCAAAGTGCAGATTTATAGTGGACAATGCTTTATCAAATTAAATAATACAACTTGTACATTTAAATTAATAATACTTTGCAGTTACCCATACTATTAAATATTATCATTTATTTGGGCAGCAAAGTGTTGTCCCTGTATAATTGCATTTTAATCTTTCAACAATAATTGGGTGAGGTTAACTGACATAGGCATATTACCCACATAATGTCCATGTTATGTAAATAAATTTAAATAAAAGGACTTGCCTACTTACTTGTTATATTACCCATAAATGATGAAAGAGAGTTCATGAATATAAAGGTAATTAAAAACCATGTTTAGACATCAATTTTGGAAGTGGCACATTGACCTCCAATGTTTTTAACTTCCACAGAGAGAGGATTAATGCATTTCGAGACTTGGAGCCAGTAGAACCTCCTAACTGCCACCTCATTGAGGGAATTGGTATGTATGTGACAGTACCAAGAGGGCAGCACAGTTTCTTGGTCACCTTCCACTTGAATGAGGCTGCCAACTGATTTAACCTCCTGCTACTCCTTAGACCAGTGATGGCGAACCTGATTCTACTTCACACTTCTGGCATTTTCTCCCTTGAACCCCCACCCACAACCAGCCCCTTCTAGATAACACTTCCACCCTTAGTCCTGCCTGCATGACACCCCCATTCTCAAAGAGACTCATTTCACAATCCAGGAAGCATTGCTTTCCTTTGTGCCTCATTGTTCACCTGACACAGGCTTGCAGCAGTGTCCTCCCACACAGGGCTCATCTCACCTGCTAGTGACTGCTGAGACTGCTTATTTGGGCTCCGAGCCTCCAATTTCCCAACACTTCTACTCGAAAAAATAGTTCAGTTAGATTCTGTTCACTGTTCTGGGAATGAGTGTTTTTCACTCTCTCACCTTTGCTCATGCAATTCCCTTCCCTGATTTCTTCATCTCTGCTTGCTGAAGTCAGCCGCAAATTTCCCTCCTACCTCTAAGTTCTCACAGCACTCTGAAAGTCTGGGTCACTTATGACACCTATCACATGCTTTGTTTTATAACTAGCAGTGTTTTCTCTTTCTCTCAATATCAGATTGCAAACTCCCTAGGGTCAAGGACTTTGCCTTATTTATCAATATGTGACAGGATGACAGCATAGTTTATTGTGATAGGAGTTTGTAACATAGATATACAAAATCAGAAAGAATACTGATTTTTAATTGGGTTTTCTTTCTCCACCCCCCCTCGCCCCCTCCCCCTCAATTTCTACAAAAACTTGCCTGGCCCTTGTGTTCCCTGGTCTTAAAGGAGGTTTGTGCTGCTGGCTAGAAAGCAGAAAGAGCTGGAGACCAACTCCTTCCTGATTTTCATTTTCAAACTCTGAGCTCCTGGAAGGGATTCTGATAGAGAAGGAATGAGAATATGTGGGGTTTTTAAATAACAGGGACCCTTGCCCCCCTGCCTGGCAGTATCCTGGGGAAGAAGCAAGACCTGGGAAGGAATGGCAACAAGGCATCTTTAAGAGGCTGGATTATTTTTACTGTGTCTCCCAGCCTCAGCCAAAGTCAGGTGCCCATGTAAGTCATGGAAGTGGCAGAATTGTCTAAATCAGCGATTTTTAACCAGTGTGCCACAAGAATTTTTAAAACATACAATACTTGACTATTTAGTCAGGGTCACTGACCTCTTTTCCCTTAGATTGTCAAATGAAAAAATGACAAGAGTCAACACAACAATAGCTGTCCAGTATGAATTAATCAAAATGATACCTACTTTTGTTGTTAGAATGATAAAAATTTAATATATGTTTGGGTGTGCCACAGAATTTTAGTAATTAGTTTATATGTGCCAGGAGATGAAAATGGTTGAAAATCACTTGATTAGCCCTAGCTGGATTGGCTCAGTGGGTAGAGTGTTGGAACTGCAGACTGAGGGGTCCATGGGTTTGATTCCAGTCAAGGGCACATGCCGGGTTGTGGGCTCGATCCCCAGTAGGGGGCATGCAGGAGGCATCCAATCAATGATTCTCTCTCATCATTGATATTTCTATTCCTCGTTCCCTCTCTTTTCCTCTCTGAAATCAATAAAACTATATTTAAAAAAAGAAAAGTAAATCGCTCGATTCAATGATATCTAAGTCTACACTCAGATTATGTAATTCAAACAGATTTGACAAGTTGAAACTACAGCTAATGTTGTAAGACATAAATCAACATACTGATTATCCAAATATTTTGAAGAGAATGATTTAAAGGAAGTTGGCTGAGATAGAAGGGAAAAAATGCCTTATTACTCCATAGCAGGTTCCACTTGTTTTTTTAGCTGACTGTCAGAACCGTTGTTCCAAAAATGTGACACGATTATAGGATTAATTGGTAGTCATGCTTTGGCATAACCCTTTCTAAGGGTGCCTTAGGGTATCCTCTTTCTATTTTGTGTGACCTCTCTGTAGTTTCTCCTCAGTAGCTTGAAAGTAGCCAGACTTCTTACATTTAGGTTCAGGGCTCCCAAGATTGATGGAGGGAGGGAGGAAGGGGGGGGGGAGAGAGAGAGAGAGAGAGAGAGAGAGAGAGAGAGAGAGAGAGAGAACACTAGCAAAAGCTATGGCTGTGACTTTAAACTTGTATGTCAGTTCTGTAGCATCACTTCCACTTCATTCTATTTGTCAAAGCAGTTACAAAGGTCTACCCAGGGTCAAGGGAACAGAATATAGACTTTACCTCTTGATGGGAGAGTATGAACATCACATTTTTAAAAAGAGCATGTGGACTTGATACATATTGATTCTACCATATTTGTAACATACATTTCGCCACACTAGATTACCAATGCCTTCACTCTCAGTCCTGCCTGCTTGGACCATATCACCTGTGGTTCTATCTCTCTACTAGGAGACATGCAAGCCCCTTTTTCATCCTGGTCTCAGTCATAAGTTACTGATTATATGCTTTTTCCCAAAGAAAAACACTCAGGACCAGCTCTCAATGGAAAGAGATCTGACCAAACTCTTTACATTCATTTACATTTAATAGTCCATCTTAAGACATATTGCCTTTGTAAAAGAGAGAAATTACTCAAAAATTTCCCATATGATTAGATAATAGTAGAATTTTTAAGCCTCAACAAGTTGGAAGAAGAGAAATGCTTGGGAGAGAGGCCTTTAAGAGACCTTCAAAATGATGACTTTCCAAATGTTATCACTTGGTCTGTAGATCAATTTTTCTATGGGGAGTAAAACTGAATCTCCCAGCTAGATGTCATTATTTAAAGAGTAAATCTAGGATATCAATTTATTTTTATAGTTATTTGTTTTTTCTACTGAGATGGAATTCTAAGAAAAAAATTGGAGTCTGACTCCGGTTTCATTGTAGAGTAGCCTGCCTGTGGGATTCTTAAAAGTTAATATAGTTTCCCAAGTAAATAGTTGCAAAAAGTCAATGGAGTTTCCAAAAGAAATTTAAAGTTTTGACTGTGAGATTTATCTTTTAAGCTTTCAAACATGCATCTTTCTGATCCTCTACTTCTTTTGCAGAAAATGGCTCTGAAGATATTGATATACTTCCCAGTGGGCTGGCTTTTATCTCCAGTGTGAGTATCTTCCATACCCCTCGGATATAACTGTATAGACAGCACATTAATGTTGCTGACTAAAGCTGACAGATGGACCCCTACACACTCATCCCACCTGCGGGTAAACCAGTCAACTAAAAAAGCCAAAACAGGATTCTGGAGAGCTAATCAGGACACCACAGGAATGCTCAGGCCTGCTCCCTGTGGGCAGTTTCATACTCAATGGGGACTCAATAAATGTGTAATGATTTTCATTCAATTCCTAAACTAATCTCCAGATATGTCCCTCAGCTTCTAGTAGTCACCTTCTCAGTAACTACTATTCCTCTCACCATGCTTGCCTGTGTTTGGAGCTCAGTAAATGTTTGTAGAGTGAATGTTGACCATGTTACTCGATTCAAAACCTTAAACACTTTCTGTCGTAGGTTCCTTATCATTCTTTCCAGCACTTTATAGAGAAGTAGAGAAAAGCCTGCATTTTATTCCCATTACCTTTCACAGTTTGGGATGATCAGGAAACTGTAAGGAACTGAAGATATTGAAAATTGTCATAAATTTGTTAAATCAGTTGCAATTTGAAATGAGATGGAATATGTTGAAAGGGATTTACTGACTACACTTTTAATGTAAATTCTGATTTCTGGAATTGCAAGTCCTAATGTTCCATTTTAGCCAAGAAAATACTACCAAATAAAATGAAGTTTTAGATCTATATCATTTTGGCCAAAAAAGGTGGGCACATATAATAATCATTCCTGGTCTGAATTTCTAAATTCTTAAATATGCGCCGTATCATTAAGGTCTCATTTTTATTTTAAACTACTTCTGGTGGTGGTATGTATGGGGGTGGGCAAGTGGGAGGGATTTTATTTCTTTAGGTTTCTTTCAAAGCCAAAGATAAAACAAAGCTATCTAGAAAATCTTTTTCTTTGTTGACTTAAATTTTCTATTGCCAATTTAGATTTTCAATGTTATGCCAAATAGATCTTTTGAAATGATGATTGTATAGCTAGGAGATTTCTTTGAGTTAGGAAATAATATTTGTAGTTCTTACAGTATACGGTATATTTGTAGTTCTATTTTCATTGGAACTGAGTGTACTGAATTGCTGCTCTATAGAAAATAGAGATTTTCATCACAAATAATGCCATGAGAAATATTAACCTGAAAGTTTTAAATAATGGAGGTCTTTTTGTAAACGAACAAACAACTCATCCTTATAGGTTAAGGATGATGTTTGTTGCTTATTTTTAATCTTTTTGACTGTAATAAAGATTATTCAACTCCTTGTTCTTATTTTTTCCTGTCACCCTTCCTTGCCATCTTAGAACATGTTTGGAAGCTGCTGATTTCAAGGGTAATTCTGTGCAGTAGATGTTTTTAGTCTACCTGCTTTCTTACCTTGGTCCTTGGCATGCTTCTCTTTGCCCGCAAGGTTACTCTACCTCTTTACACATGTCACTAACTTTTAGTTCTTTGTGAGGTTTCACAGTAGTGGCACCTCAGTTCCTGAGGAAACTCTTTCCTAACACTCTCTTGCTGAGTGAGATCCTCTTCTCTGGTGCTTTGGATTCCCTGTGCTTAGACCCTTACATTCAGTACCACATCTGATGGGCTTGCTTGGTGCTGTCTCCCTAGATCTCAAGTTCCTCCAGGCCAGGACTTTGGAGTGTTCATGACCATGCTCAGCACCTAACACACTATCTGGCGTACACAGGTGCTTGACTATTTACTGAATGCATGTGCTCATAAATGAGGCCAGTGGAGGATTTCAATGACTGTCCACACATACCTGTAGTATGTTGGGAAAATAAGATGCCTGCATCTCCAGGTGATTTTCACCATTTTCAGTGGTGAATGATATAAAAACAATTGCTTGTAGTCAATTGCCACAAATTCTTACCCAATTGCCTTAAACAGAAAACCGAGTGAATGAGAAGGCATTTTATCAGAGGTGTTTCATTCACCATGACACTTAATCTAGGCCAGGTTGTTTGCAATGCTTCACCCTTCATCTCTAGAACAGCAAGTCTTTGTACTAGTTGGCAATGCCCTCACATTCCCCAAGCTACCATGGTACTTGCCTGTGATGTTCTGCCCTGACCCGCCTTCCTGGGCAATAGTCTCTACTGCCAAACCTTTCTTTATGGTGTGGTAATGAGGCTGTATAATTAATGATCTGAGTAATCTAGGAAAATTGGCTTCCCTGGGCTTAACTTTCCCTAGGTAAAAAGGGGAGGATTTTATGTTTCTGACATTTTTCCCCTCAATGGTGCCATTATCTAAGCTACTGGACTTGGTGACCAATTGGCTATTTGGGAAAGAGTAGATTTAAAGACTGGATTTTATGGCCTAATATTGGAAAGAATAGTGATGCTTTCAAAGGAGAATAATAGATATGAATGAGAGGCAGGATTTGAGGAGAGAATGTTGATATTGGTTTTGACAATTTGATTATGGGCTGCCCTTAGGAAGAAGTCGGGAATGCAAGCTAGAACTTAAGAGAGAGATTCTTGTTGAATGTGTAGATTTGAAAATCATTGGTATAGAAGAAATATCTGAAATCTTATGACTAAGATCTGCAAGGAAGGAGTATAGAGCAAGAAGGAAAGAGGGATGGATGAGGACAGAAGGAGGAAGAGGCAAGAAGAGAAGCAGGACTTATATCAGCAAATTCTTCTCCTCCTCTGCCTCCTCCTCTTTTCCTCCTCCTCCTCCTCTTTTCCTCCTCCTCCTCCCTTCTTCTTCTTCTTCTTCTTCTTCTTCTTCTTCTTCTTCTCCTCCTTCTTCTTCTTCTTCTTCTTCTTCTTCTTCTTCTTCTTCTTCTTCTTCTTCTTCTTCTTCTTCTCCCTCTTCTTCGACAAGAAACAAAGGGATATACAATAGTGTCAAATGCCACAGAGATATAAGCAAGAGAAAGTAGAGGGGTTTTCACATGGGATATTTTGGAGGCCATTCATATGACCTTTATAGAGGCATTTCTATAAACTACAGAATACTGATTTCTGAAAGTTTGAACAAATCAAATCTGGTAACAAGATCAAGTGATGTTTTCAAGAAATTTGACAGTGACGAGAAAACAAAATAAATGCATGTTTGAAGAAGTAGTAAAATTAGGAGTCCATTGGTTTCAAGGAATGAGAAACGAGCAATTTTTCAAGCAAAAGAAGGGGACATTGGTAAAAAAAAAAAGTGCTAAAGCAAGAGAGAGAGGATGTACTTTCTGAAGACAGGGCCTAGAGAACAAGAAATCAAATAAACAGGTGGTGGAGTTAACATAAGAAGGCAGACTGGTGCAGCCACTATGGAAAACAGTATGGACAGTTCTCAAAAATAAAAAATGGAACTGCCATTTGGTCCAGCGATCCCACTTCTGGGAATATATCCTAAGAATCCAGAAATACCAATCAGAAAGAATATATGCACCCCCATGTTCATAGCAGCGTTATTTACAGTAGGTAAGACTTGAAAACAGCCTAAGTGCCCATCAGTAGATGAATAGATAAAAAAGGTGTGGTACATTTACACAATGGAAGACACTCTTCTGTAAAAGAGAATGATCTCTTACCCTTTGTGACAACATGGATGGACCTGGAGAGTATCATGCTAAGTGAAATAAGCCAGTCAGAGAAAGACAAATATCATGTGATCTCACTTATATGTGGAATCTAATGAACAAAATAAACTGATGACCAAAATAGATCCATAGGCATGGAACAGAATAACAGATCTCAGAGGGAAGGGAGGTGGAGAGGAGGGGAAGCAATTAATGATTGCTTAACCCATGGACACAAATAATTGTGCAGGAAAGGTCTGGGGTGGGGCAGGGGTTGGATGGAGGGGGGCAAAAAGGGGGAAAATGGGGACTTCTATAATACTGTCAACAACAAAAATAAATAAGTAAATACATACATACATAAATATGAAATGGAAGGCTGATCAAAACTGAGGTACAGAGGATTCATTAACTGAGCAAAGAGACATGCTTGAGGATGAGCTTTCGGTCGGTCCTCTGCGTTCCAGTCTGGGTCTGTTCCCAGGAAGATGGATAGGAGAATCAAGAAATTCCACCTTACTTCACTCTTTAATATCTTCCTTTCTTCTCCCCTGAAGTAGTTCCTTGCTTACATTCTATAGTTGCAGAAAGAAGAAAGGAGGACATCTTCAGACATTGGGTTAGTGCTCTCCTTTTAGAAGGAAAGTGGACATCACAGCACAGAATTGGTACATACGCATGTCTAAGAGCCCTCTCTCCCAGGTGCCAGGTCCTGGTGACAGTTTCTGACATGCTGATAAAGAGTGTGCTATTGGCCCCCATACAGGTGTCTTGAATATCAAAGTTTTAATGTCAGCAGTGAACATTTAAAACGAATGTGGCATGTTGCTGAAAAATTACCACGTAAGCAAACGGATGGCTTTTTATTTAGCTCCTGAAAATACCATACATAGAAAGACATTCTTAACCATCTGGAAATTATTTTGAGGAAATTAAAGTTCAACTCTGTCAAAAAGGAAGAAAAGAAGAGAATTGATAAAATTGAAGAATTATTGAGTCGGAAAGCAGGGAGTCAGAGGAAATTGATGATGGATGGCATATTTGTTTGTGATTTTCCCACCAGAGATATAGGAGGTAAAATTACTCATTGAGAATAAAGAGGAAGATAAAGAAATAAATTTAGGATAAACATTTGGAGAAATGCAATAGATAGCCTATTAGAATGAACAAAAAGGCTGATAAACATCATTGGATGTCTGATTAAAGTTGGGATGATAATTTTGTATCTAAGTTTTTTCTCCTGATTTAGACTAGCCCTGTAAGAGGTGGACCAGGGCAAAAGGAGTTGGTAGGGGATTTGATAAGTAGGCAGCAAGCAAAGGGTGTGGCTTCCTTAGGAACAAGTTGTTGATTGATGATAACAGATATGAGGTCTTGAAGATTGTAGCTCGGGCATGCTGCTCTCTCCTCCAGGTGTGGTGACTTAAGGAGAATGTAAGAGGGCAGAGCACCTTCTCTGATGTGCTTCAGTGTTGCCTGCAGGTGAGTCAGCTTCCCAGTAAGATTTAGGCATAGAAGGATTATTCTAAGAAAAGCTTGAAGATTAGATTCACTCCCCCAGGGGTGAGGGCCAAGAATAGTGTTATTGTAAGTATGTGAGTGTGTGTGTGTGTGTGTGTGTGTGTGTGTGTGTGTGTTTATAAGAAAAGGAGGGGAGGAGAGAGAGAGAGAGAGAGAGAGAGAGAGAGAGAGGAGTAGGAAAGAAAGAATTTAAATTGAGTATAAATGGAAAATGAGGATACAAGAAAAGATACAGGGTTGTTAATATTAAGGTTGATATTATCAGAGTGATGGGGGAGGAATGTGGGGAGGAAGTTGCAACTTGTGTAGAATAAGTCAACCCCAAGTTTTGATACAATGACCAGGGATGCAGCAAAGGCCCCAATACATTCAAGATGCCTATGATTGGTTTATAAATACCTAGTCCTCCAATAAACAGGGCCACTCTCCAAGAACTTTTTGCATTATTTAGAGAAAAAGATTCACATTCGAATTTTCAGACATATCTATAAGAACAAAATAGGTCAGAAATAGTCAATTCTTTGAGACTAGTTCCCCAAAGTTAACTCTTGGCTAATTCTACTATGAAATGTAATGGATGTCAGGATGGAAGCAATACAATGACACTACACACCCCATCTCTCCACTTTGAGGAAGGTTAGTTATAGAATATCAGGACTGGATAGAGTCATAGATATCACACATTTTAACGTCCTCATTTTCTAAAAGAGGAACCTTAGGCACAGACAGGCAAGGGACCCACACAAAGTAACACAGCCTCTCATCTCTTACACGGTACTTTTTGTCTAAACGCTTTCTTTCTATATCAAAAACTGACTTTGGATTCTTCCCATTCCCAATGGTTTAGATGACATTGCTAATCCCTCAGATTAGATACTGGCAACAGCTGACAGATAAAAATGTCCCAGAAATCTAAAAGAAGTTTAGAGTTTTTAACATCTTTGCTAGACTTTGAGCTTCTAATTTCCTTATGAAAACATTTTTTTGATATGTATATATGTACATACTTATTCTCTGTTTTTTAAAGGGATTAAAATATCCTGGCATGCCAAGCTTTGCACCAGATGAGCCAGGACAAATCTTCATGATGGATCTGAATGAGCAGAACCCAAGAGCCCAGGCACTGACAATCAGTGATGGTTTTGACAAAACATCATTCAATCCACATGGGATCAGTACTTTCATTGACAAAGGTAAAGCTTGAATGCTTAAGAATAAGGGGGAGAATGAGGGAAATGGCAAGGGAATTATATCTCAAAAAAGCTGTTATAAGAACAAAACATACGTATTAATACATTGTTTATGCTTTAAAACAATTTCAAATATTATTTTTTAGTTGTTGATGGTTCCTAATTCCAAATTAATTTAGTTTTTAAGTGCCTGTGGGCCCATAGAACACATAGAAAATAAGAACAGTGAAACTTAATAGTAACTACGTAAAGAGAAGACCAAATGGAAGTGTTGCAATTCAGAATGTTTGAAGAAATGGTGCTTTAATTCTTCCAAATACCTAATGGAATTACAATGTATTGTTAAGTATAAATTTGCTGGACTGATTTAATGATTCATAATTATTTCCATCCACTTATCCAATAAGTTTGGTCTGCACCAACAGACTTGTTCAAGTTTACATAAATGGGTATCTTTAAAAAATGCTTGAATACCATTTTATGAAGTAGGTTAAATATTCCCCTGAAATCTTATGTAGGGGTGGGGAAAAGTAGGTTTACTGTGCCACTGTGACATTCTTTTGAGTTAATAAAGCTATTGAAATAATCATAACCTGCATGTCTTTTTCCATGCAAACAACTGTAAACCTTCTAAGATTTTCCGCCTGATTTAGACTAGCCCTGTAAGAGGTGGACCAGGGCAAAAGGAGTTGGTAGGGGATTTGATAAGTAGGCAGCAAGCAAAGGGTGTGGCTTCCTTAGGAACAAGTTGTTGATTGATGATAACAGATATGAGGTCTTGAAGATTGTAGCTCGGGCATGCTGCTCTCTCCTCCAGGTGTGGTGACTTAAGGAGAATGTAAGAGGGCAGAGCACCTTCTCTGATGTGCTTCAGTGTTGCCTGCAGGTGAGTCAGCTTCCCAGTAAGATTTAGGCATAGAAGGATTATTCTAAGAAAAGCTTGAAGATTAGATTCACTCCCCCAGGGGTGAAGGGCCAAGAATAGTGTTATTGTAAGTGCGTGAGTGCATAGGTGCATGCGTGCATGTATGTGTGTGTGTGTGTGTGTGTGTGTGTGTGTTTGCCCACCCCTGTATATCTGTTTATTTGCTTAGCAAGTCCTTCTTTAAAAGGTAATTATACCTAACCAGTCACATAACAATTTTGTATTGCTTTATAGTTTATAAAGCATTTTCATGTATATGTGATTTATTTAGTCCTCAAAATAAAACCCTGTCCCAACCTGACACTTCTCCTCTCCCTGCACCATTCAGTGAACTAGTTACAATGCTCTAATTTCCCTTTTATCCATCTCTCCAAGCTGTCCAGCTCTTCCCATCCTCACTGCCACCATCTCAGTCCAAGTGCCAAACATCTTTCCCATGACTGCACCTTCCCTCTAATGCTACCTCAATCCATTTCCATAATCAAGAGTTATTTTTATGTGAATCTAATCATGTCACTCTCTTCTTAAAATGCTCCATGTTGTTCCCATTACTCTGAAGATCAATCCCAAATCTTCAAAATAACCTGGGTTCCTAGGGGCTACTCCTACACATTCCGGCATCTGGGTGCTCCCTCCAGCCTCACCAGACACCACCCTCCCCCTGACTCTCCGGATCAGTCACATTGGATTTCTTTTAGTCCTATAAAATGCTACCTGCCTCAGGGCCTTTGCATCTGCAGTTCCCCCGTGCCTGGAATATCTTTCCACTACTTCTGGATTACTCATCCTCATCAGTCAGGCCTCAGCTTAAGTGTCACCTTCTTAGGGAAGCCTTCCCCAACCTGTTTCAGGGCATGAACTTTATTATATTTCTTCTCGATGTACTTCTTTTAGCACTCATCAGAATAGCAACTAATGTTTTCTTATTAATGTTAAAAGGTACCAACCTTCTACCCCTCTCCCACTATTGCTCTATAGCAGCGGTTCTCAACCTGTGGGTCGCGACCCCTTTGGGGGTTGAACGACCCTTTCACAGGGGTCGCCTAAGACCATCAGAAAACACATATTGAATATATAATTACATATTGTTTTTGTGATTAATCACTATGCTTTAATTATGTTCAATTTGTAACAATGAAAATACATCCTGCATATCAGATATTTACATTACAATTCATAACAGTAGCAAAATTACAGTTATGAAGTAGCAACGAAAATAATTTTATGGTTGGGGGTCACCACAACATGAGGAACTGTATTAAAGGGTCGCAGCATTAGGAAGGTTGAGAACCACTGCTCTATAGTGAGCTCCTTCTAATCTTTGGAGCCAAGCTTACCTGTCACTGTTCAAGTGGCTGCACTCTATGAAGAAGGCATCTCCTACTTACGTTTCTTTTATTTACTATTCATTTCCTCCCTGTTTTCCTATCTAGAATATAATCACCACAAAAGCATGTGTGACTTGTTCATTGCTGGATTCCCAGAGTCTAGAACCATATCTGCTGCTCTAGAACATGTGTTAAATGAATAAATGAATGAACCCTATGGCACAGGCAGTTCAGGTATTAATGCTCAATTTTATAGATGGAGAAATGAAGGTTAGAGAAATGCAGTGAAGTGTGGCTTCACTTTTGTCAGGAGTAAATGGCAGTTCCAGAACTGGAACCCCCAGGGGTCTTACTTCTAATCCTATGTTATTTATTTGGGTAAAATTAGGGCTTCAGGCTCTACTTGAATAATACAAAGTCACCGCTTTTCTTGCCTGACACAAAACTAAACATATTGCTTCACTGGAGAAGTTGTAATGAGTAATCAGATTAACCTGGAGCTATATTATTTCATGGGATAGTGTTGGAGGAGGAGATATTTTTTGGGGGGCGGGGGGGCGGTGGAGTGAGCCTTGATTTGAGGTGTTTGTTTTTGTTTTTTTTTTCCCTCAAATGGGACCAGTTTAAAGTTTACAGATTAACCCTTAGGCATTTAATCAGGATTTCAGAAGCTTAGTATATTATGATTGGCATCTTATTTTATTAGTCACCTCCCTTAATTATGCATTTAATTCATAAGGCCAAAACATTACATATAGATTGGAATGGAATGAGAAGACAAAGAACATTATTCTCACCAAGCATTGCTTTATGGAAGGAGCGGCCCAGTGGAGGCCTAAAGAAGGATAGGCCCAGGGCAGCACACATATTGTTCATGCTGTGTTTGGCAGGAGTGTCTGGCTGAAGAGCCACGTGAGGACTAAAATACAACTCAGTTCTGCTTGCCAAGCCCCTGGCCCTGGACCAGAGCTGGGTCAGACCAAATGAAAGACTCATCTGTGAGGGAGCCCCTTTTCTTAATTTGGGTCAAGGTATCAGTGTGTTTCAGGGGCCATCTCAGGGCCCGGGTTTGCTCCATTATAGGCTTGGGAACCCCATTAAGGGAGGGAATAGAGGAGAGTCCAGTAGGAGGATGGGGGCAGGCCTTTTAAAAATCCAGAGCTCATCTGACCTGGAGCTCCTGGGAAGTCAGGAAACAGTACTTTGAGAAGTCGGATTACTACCCTCAGTCCTGTTCACAGCCGTTCACAGTCCAATATGAAAGCAGATAGTTGAACATTCTTGAGGCAATACCCACAACTGTCTACTCTGTTTCCTCTTGCATTCATATTTACATTCCATATCCACTAGGCTCACTAAATATTGTTATTGCAACCTCAGGTGGTTGACTTGCATCAGAAGTTCATTCTCTAGCTGGGAAGTATTGCTAGTTTAAGATATTCACACAGCCCTGGCATTTTTGGAATGTGTGTTGCAATGTAAGAAATATTCACCGATGCCGAAACCGGTTTGGCTCAGTGGATAGAGCGTCGGCCTGCGGACTGAAGGGTCCCAGGTTCGATTCCGGTCAAGGGCATGTACCTGGGTTGCGGGCACATCCCCAGTAGGAGGCGTGCAGGAGGCAGCTGATCGATGTTTCTCTCTCATCGATGTTTCTAACTCTCTATCTCTCTCCCTTCCTCTCTGTAAAAAATCAATAAAATATATTAAAAAAAAAAAAAAGAAATATTCACCGAAAAGAATTCTCATCAAGGCTTTGTTTGCTTGCATCCACTTCTCCTATTGAAGAGCCATCTGAGGAAACCATATCCATGTCCACGCACCACTGTAGTTCTGTGCCTTCCTGTTAGAAAGGGGAATGCAGGTGAGGATGAAGAGACTACGTGGAAACATCAGGGTTTGCCTCTGCCATTTGGTGATGGTAAAATTGCAGACAAATCATTCCCTTCCTGAGTCTCAATTTCTTCAATAAAATAGTGATACTGGCACTTGTCTGACTTGCCTATCAAGTGGACTGTGGGAATCCAATGCAAGATGTCTGAGAAAAACTCTTGGATGTGACCAAGTAGCACACCAAGTCTAATAAAAGTTGCAATAGAAGTAAACTTATGAGAAATTATGCCTTTTCCCACTTAGACCATACTGTGTACCTTTATGTTGTGAATCATCCCCACATGAAGTCTACTGTGGAGATATTTAAATTTGAGAAACAACAACGTTCTCTGGTTCACCTGAAAACTATAGAACACGAACTTCTCCAAAGGTATGGATTTAAAGCATTTTGCACTTCTATTTATTTTTGCACCTCTGCTGTGTGCTTTGTTTTCTTGGGTTCAGTGGGCTTCCTCAAGCTATTGTTCTGTAGCATTGTTTTCTGAAGCTTTCTAAAGGTTCCCATGGTGACACTGCCCAGCATCTCACCAGAAATTGCTGTATTAGTATTGAATATCTTTATATTTCCCAACTTCTTGAAAGCATTTTAATCCTATGAAAGTGCTCAATTAGATTCCCAGCTCTAATTCCACAACAATGCAATACTAACTATGGGGCTCTCTTTAAACACCTACACCCATTTCTAGTTATCCTGGTAGGCTGTGTCTGAGAGCCGTACCCACTAGGTGTTACAACCAACCTCAAGATGGGCTATTTCTTTGTTCAATGAGAGCTTTAAAGTGGAATTTGAAAAAAAAGCCAGTGGGCACATATAAAAATCACATTTATCAAGCTTTGATGATGTGCCAGGCGTTGTACAAAAATACTTAATTTAATTCTCACAACAGCCTTCAGTAACAGGCATGAGTAAGCTGACACTTAGTGTTTTAGATTAAAAAATTGCTCATGTTACATAATTTGTAAGTGGCAGAACCAGAGTGTAAACCTAGATCTGTCTGAATTCAAAGCTGTGCTCTCAATGACAATGCTAAACATCTTTCTTATTGTGTTGCAAAACAATAGTACGTTTTTTAGTGGATAGGTTGCCTATTTCAAGGCTGTAACAAACAATGAAAAATTTGTCTTATAAAATGGACTCAACACTGAAACAGTAGAGATTAATCTTTTCATGAGACAGAAGAATGGGAAAATAAATGGAAGTTCACCTTCTTGTCTTTGTTCTCTTTCTCAACATCATGTATGGACTTCTCCCATAGAATCTGGGAGCAATAAAAGCAGAGGGCAAAAAAAGTAAGATTAGTTGAAGTTACTGAACTCCTTTCTCTTTTTTAAAAAAATATGTTTTTATTGATTTCAGAGAGGAAGGGAGAGAGAATCATTGACTGACTGCCTCCTGCACACCCCACACTGGGGATCAAGCCCACAACCCGGGCATGTGCCCTGACCAGGAATTGAACTATGACTTCCTGGTTCATAGGTCAATGCTCAACCACTGAGCCATGGCAGCCGGGCTGAACTCCTCTCTTAATAAATTGTGCTGGGTTCTGAGGCACAGTGGGGACCAGGACTGCCGTGGAGTGACTGGAAACTGGACAAATCACTTAACCCGTGCTTCAATTTCCTGAGCAAAATGGTGGTTCTCTTATTGGTCTAACTCACCACACTGATGATTGTGAGGCTTAGATGCAATAACATATGACGTCACAGGAAGAGTTCCTCAGAAATCACAGCCTGAGGGAAAACTCCATACATGACGAATTGATTAAGGAGTACAATACCAGGATGCAGAAGTGAGAGAACAGATTGAGGCAGGGAAGAGGGAGTAATATGGGTTGAATTGTATTCCCTCAAAAAGACATGTTGCAATGTTAACCCCAATATTTCAGAACATGACCTGATTTGGAAATAGGATCATTGGTAGATGTTATTAGTTAATGCCCTCCATATTGGTGGGCCCTTGATCTAATATAACTGGTGTCCTTATAAGAAAACAGGCAGACACACAGGGAGAATGCTAGGTAAAGATGGAGTGTGAGATTGAAGTGATGGATCTATAAGCCAAGGATCGCCTGGGGCTACTAGAAGCCAAAAGAGACAAGGAAGGATTCTACCACAGAAACTTCAGGGGGAGCACGGCCCTGTCAACACCTTGATTTCAGACTTCTAGCCTCCAGAACTGCAAGACAATACATTTCTGTTGTTTTATGCCACCTCGTTTGTGGCACTTTGTTACGGCAGCATTTCTAGAAACTCATATGGGAGACAGTCTATAGCAAATACATTATCCTTCTCCCTTTCTTACCTGTCTAAGGTTAAGAAAGGGAGAAGAGCTTATCTACTAGCCTTATCTCCCATTAGTCAAAGGTTTACCTCAAGGGCTATTCACTTGGTACCTGCACAAGTCACATCTGGTGATATCTTGTGTTTTGTTGTCAACACAGAAGCCTGAAAGTGGGCGCAAGAGAGCCACACAGGCATGAGGTAAAGTACCATAAAGCCGTACTGTGGAAAGTCTGCCAGATCCCTTGAAGAGCTGGTTGAAGGAGTGCCAACTGGAACAGGGCAAGTGAGGCTCTAAGGAGCATCTAAAGAGAACCTTAAGAAGTGTCCTGATACCCACATTGACCAAGCATTTTAAGGGGTAGAACAACGTGCTATTCTTGAGAGAATTCAATTTAACCTATGGGGTCAGGCAATACCTTTTAGAGGAAGGAATGCTTATGCTGAGACCTGAAAGATGACCTTGGAAAAGACATTATACATCAAAACCTAAAAATATTTTCCTGATTCATCCAGTTTTCTTTTCCAGTTTAATTTTAAAAGATTTAACCTTTTTTTTTTTTTACATTTTCAAGTCACTGTCTTCTTTTTCACTTTCCAAAATGAAAATGACTTATTTTTTTATCTTGTAAGAGTAAGACTTACTTCATTTAAAAAAAAATGAAATGGTATTAAAGAACATAACTGGAAGGAATAGCACTACAATTTCACCTACTCAAAGAAAATATAAAGGTCAGGATGAATTGGGTTATGCTAAAATAGCAGAAAAGAAAACCCTAACTTCTCCACAAAGTTTTCTTTTCTCACTCATGCTATGCCTCTAATGCAGGTGATATGGGGACTCAGTTTTATATTATCCTCATGTAGGACCTTTGAAGAACCACACTATGCATCATCAAGAAAGTTGCTGGTTACTATATAAGAGTGGGGGAGAAGCATGGTGGGTCATGAGCCAGCTCTTAAAGTCTTCCAACTGAAAGCCACACACAATCACTTCATTTCATTGGCCAAAGCTAGTCGCATGTCCATGCCTAACTTCAAGGACATTGGAGAAACCTAATTGCAGAAAGAGAAGAACCAGCACTATTGGCCAACTGCACTATGACCGCCACAGATAGCTATTATAAACATTTACAAGTCCAAAGATTTGGAGTTTGAAGCTTATTTGTATATTTATTGGGTTTTACTGACTTCTGCAAAAGAGAGGAATGAGAATAACAAATGGCTAAAAAAGAAATCAGGGCAATAAAAAATCATTTACTTTCTGTGGATTTTTAAAATTCATACTAGTTCATGTATACTTTTTCAAGTTGATCAACATATTGGTCTTTGTAGAGACTTGGTGATTTTGACAACAATCACTATTTTAAAACTAACTCACTCTCTCTCTCTCTCTCTCTCTCTCTCTCTCTCTCTCACTCTCCACTTTAGTGTGAATGACATCGTGGCTCTCGGACCAGAACAGTTCTATGCCACCAGAGACCACTATTTTACCAGCCACTTCTTGTCACTATTAGAGATGTTCATAGATCTTCAGTGGACTTATGTTCTTTTCTATAGTCCAAGGGAGGTCAAAGTGGTGGCCGGAGGATTTAGTTCTGCCAATGGGATCACAGTCTCACCAGACAAAAAGTAAGTAAGCTCATTTATAATTTTTCTACCCTTTGACCTTGACATATTAGTGGACTCCTTTCCTTAGGAGGTAGGTTACTTCCTACCTTAAATAGTCAAATATGAGTGGAGGGATCAGGTATGGTCAGGCTTTATACTAAATGTGTGGTCTTAAGCAAACCAATTTGCATTCCTGCACTTTAGACTCCATCCCGCAATGAAATGAGGCATTTGGATTCAAAGTCCTTGTCCCAATTTTCTTATGTGACCCTAGCACACTAACATGGAGAATAAAAGCATGATACCTCTGCCTCTTATGAGGCTGGAAGGCCTTTAACCACTTACACTAAGTTCCGTTACCCTGAAGTTCTTATTGGAGAGGGTGGCCCAACTTAGATTGGACATTAAATTGTATAAGTTTCAGACTTACTGATTCTCTGCAGCAGAATTTCCTATGAAAAAACATTTTTTATGAAGCATGCATTTTTATGGAAAACTCTTAAAGTGTTTTAAAATGGAAGGTGTTTCAAAAAGCAAAGTACTATGAGTATTGATATACTAGTATAAATTTGAGATAATGAATAGAGATGATCCCTGTGGAAAACAGCTCCAAATGTTCTTCCTCCTTTTAATAACGATGGTGATTGAGCTTCATGGTCATCTGATTCTTCTTGCCAAGGACTAGTTTTTGGAAGTATCTTTTTGTCTTATAAGAGAACCACTTACCTCCATTCAATTTAAAGGTCCACTTACCTCCATTCAGTTTAAAGACATTCAATTTAAAGATTCCCAAGTAATGAGATTGAGTCTATATGTCATCTAGAAACACCAATTTCATTGCTTTACAGTCATATCTCATATTCAAAACTTATATAAAGCACTTCAAGAATATTAAAAATACCACTCCATTATCTTTTTTTATTTTTTATTTTTGCTGTGGTTTAAAATGGCAGTGCAGTGGTACTTTGACTATTGTGAATTTTTATACATCTTCTCCACAATAAAATTTAGTGTCATCTCTTAATACTACTTGCTTCAATGTAAATGTGATTTACTTCAAAGGTATATCTATGTAGCTGATGTAACGGCTAAGAACATTCATGTAATGAAAATTCACGATAACTGGGATTTAACTCGACTGAAGGTAAGAGTACCCTGGCTTGCCCACACAACATGGCCTCTTACATTAGCTCCCACGCTTGACCTGGGAATGTGCTCCTTGAATGAAGAAAACAAGAGTAATTAAAAAAAAAAAGATGGTGAGAGTGTGTTCTTGCACCACTAATAACAAAGCCCATTAAAAATACTAATTTTAGCCCTGGATATTGCTGCTCAATAGTTAGAGTGTCAGCCCATGCACTGAACCATTGCAGATTCCATCTAGGTCAAGGACACGTAATTGCATTGCAGGTTTGATCCCCACCCTAGTCAGGGCAAGTGTGAGAGGCAACCAATTGATGTGTCTCTCTCACAGTTTCCATTTCTCTTCCCTCCCTCCCTTCCACTTTCTCTAAAAATAAATAGAAAAAAATATCCTTAGGTGAGGATCAACAACAACAACAAAAAATTAATTTCAGGATCCAGAAGCTGGTGCGAGGGGGGAGGTGTAAGGAAGAAAGTCAAAACAACATCTTCACTATTTCCTCTTTGTTGAAAGGTAATACAGTTGGACACCTTAGTGGATAACTTAACTATCGATCCTGACACAGGAGATATTTTGGCAGGATGCCATCCTAATGCCATGAAGTTGCTGGTCTATAACCCCAAGGATCCTCCAGGGTCAGAAGTAAGTTCCTACATTTCTCTGAGCCCACAGGCAAGGCTGTACGACTATCTGTTGAGGCCACTTGGAAGAATTGACTGGGTCACATGTGATGTTCCAGAACAAATGTACATATGGAAAGAGTAAAGATTTTGTTAGAATGAAGAAATATAGCCCATTAATTTTTTCAGGTTACCAGGTACCAATTTAACATCAGTGCTAGACAATGTGCCTCATCATAGCAAAGGCTATACTTGCCACTGGGAATAATTGGAAAAATTATGAGCTTAATTATTCATGATGACCCAGATTGGTATTCATATTTCCAATCAGGATATAAGCTCAGAACAGGCCCTGAAGTTAGGCAAAGGGAGAGTCATATACGGAACCACCTTCTTTCACACTACCAAACATGAAGTTCAAATGAAAGGGTTTAAATGACTAGTCTCAAAACAAAATTAACTTTGCCACCCAGTTCTAATACTAGTATATAAATGATAGTATTAAAGAATGTCTCATTTTAAAGATGGCATTTGTATTATTTAACATCTCTTCTGAAATAACAGTATTTACCATTGGATTTCCTATGACATTAAATGCAATAGCATAATACATTACGTTTTCTATAGCATTGAGATTAAGAATAAAGTAATCTTGAGTGAATTTAAATATAGATATAAATTCTTGGCAGATATAATCTGAGATATTTTGTCACAAAAATTTATTGAGCAATTATAATATACCAGACTTTGTTTTCATACTTAGGATATACTATTAAACAAAATATACAAAGATCCTTGCTCTTAGGGTGGGGTACAGACAATAAACAGTAAGCATAAGAAATAGTAAGTTATATAGTAATTTTAAGATGGGAAGTTCTATGGGAAAAAGTGTAATAGAGTAAAAAGGACTAAAATTACTGTGAATAGGGGGAAGGGCAAGTCCTATTATTAAATATAAAGATCAGAGTAGGCCTCATTGAGATGATAAGGTTTGAAAGAAGATAAAATATTTGAATCTAGGTTTGGGGAGTTGGGAAATTGAGATTCAAACCCTAGCCTTGAAATTGGCCCAGGGGTAAATTAGAACATACAATTATTTCTGCTTCCAAAATTGCCGTCCTTCAGTGTTTTTTTAAAAAAATAATTGTTTCTCTAATTAATATATTAGCCACAGCTTTTTTAAAAAATAGCAAGAAATGTAAAAAGAAACAAGAGTCCAGCCTGCCCTAGCTGGTTTGCTCAGTGGATAGAGCATCAGCCTGTAGACCAAAGGGTCCCGAGTTCGATTCTGGTCAAGGGCATGTACCTCGGTTGCAGGCTCCTCTCCTGCCCAGGCCCTGATCAGGCGTGTGCAGGAGGCAACCAATTGATGTGTTTCTCTCACATCGATGTTTCTCTCTGTCTTTTCCTTCTCTCTTCCACTCTCTCTAAAATCAGTGGAAAAATATGCTTGTGTGAGGAGTGAAAAAAAAAAAAAAAAAGAAGAGTACAGCCTGAACCTAAAGCCTGAAGGATTGGTACTGTAAATAGCATGCTACCCTTGCTTCAGATATGTGCCCCCAAAAGAGATAATATAACTATTCTACAAAAACCCAACAACATCTGCATTAAAAGAATGAAAATACAATCTATAAGATGATTTGATAATTGTTTAGGATCTTTTTCATGTCTCTATTTCCAAGTTTAATCACTTGTTTATTTTAAAGATTTTTTAATTTTTTTATTGATTTTTGGAGAGAGAGGAAGGGAGAGGGAGAGAGAGAACAACATGCCTCCTGTACTGCATACCCCATATTGGGGATCAAGCCCACAACCCAGGCATGTGCTTGACTGGGAGTCGAACCAGCAACCTTTCAGTGCAATGGACCAAGCCCAACCAACTGAGCCACACCGGCCAGGGTTCATTTGTTTATTTTAGATAAGACTTCTTTCTTCACAGTCACTGACACCCTTTCCTTTTGGTTGAACCTAATATTTTCTACATGAATTCTAAGCTTGAATATTTTCCTGTAAGAAATTTGAGAAGTTATAGGAGTTTCCTTAAGACAAAAAGCCAAAACTCAACTGAACTATTTTAATAAGAGATGTCAATATAGACTCATGACTCATGAACTTCGAATTGGTTTTTTCTTTAATTCCTATCATGTCCTGTTTGAGTGAACGTCACCCAGGCTATTTGGAAACCTGAGCACTTATATACTTACTGATTGGCAACCTAAAGTGTGGTAATTCTGGGTATCAATAACAGTATGAAGTAGTGATGTGTCAGATTGAATTCTTCAAAGTATGCATTCTGTATGCTTCCTAGCCACTTCTCTGATGCGAGGGATTCCAGCTGTGACAACTACCATCCTACTAGTTACCAGGTTGGGTTGGCTTGCTAACTGGATGTCCCTTTTTCATTTCTTCCTGTGTTTCTATTGAGGGATATGGCTAATTGTCAGACTGCACAGATATCATTAGGACATTAATACTTTCACCATCAAAAGAAAAAAACAACAACGAAGATATACAAATTTTAGCTTATTGATTTGTGAGAAATATATAGTCCCGGAGTATTTGGGAAGAAAAACATCACTGGCAGCTGTTTGCTCATATAGTGCACTAACAGTTAATCTCTTCTTGGCAGGTACTTCGCATCCAGGATGTTCTGTCTGAGAAGCCCAGGATAAGCACGGAGTATGCCAACTCGGGCTCTGTGCTTCAGGGCAGCTCTGTGGCTTTTGTGCACAACAGGAGACTTCTCATAGGCACCGTATTTCACAAAGCTCTGTACTGTGAGCTCTAGACTCCAGATGAGCCAAGAGTCTACATGTTTAGTAAAAGTAAAACCCTAATTCTAGGATGAGGGGACTGCAAGTAAATCACAAACACCAACAGAAGTGTGTCTGGCTTTCCTTACAGATAGAATTAAAGAAGCAGAGAGATTCCATAATATTCACCAAGTTGCAAATCAAGATAGTGACAGTCCAACAATGAGCCAAATCTCTCAACTGTTTTGTCCAGTACTCCCAGTATTCTTTCCACCTAGGACTCCTTGGTAGCTGTGTGTCAAAATCACCTCCTACAACAGTCATGTTCTGAGCCTGCTCCAATCTAGCCCAGGAGAAAATCTAATGTTCAAATATTTACAAGTCCCTTTCGCTTTCTCCAATTGCACTAGGCACACACTGCTTATCAAATGCCCAGCCCATGGATAAAAGCAAGAATTAGCATCATGAGACTCTCTCCAAAGACCTCCTCAAACTTGCATTCTTCCCAATACAGACACAGAAAATCAGGTTCTTGAAAATCTGACTGGGGAGGCCTCACTTAGTTGCAAGCAGAGCTGGTTTCTTCCTTTGTACTAGGTCTTTATTTGTAATAGTCTCCCCCTAATCCATGGTCTCACTTTCCATGGTTTCAGTTTCCTGTGGTCAGCTACAATCCAAAAATATTAAAGTAATAATTCCAGAAATAAACAAAAGTTTAAAATTGTGTGCTATTCTGTGATGAAATCTTGAGCCATCCATTCCTGGCCACCCAGAATGTGAATCATCCTTTGTCCAGTGTCTCCATGCTGTATATGCTCCCTGCCCCTTCGTCACTTAGTAAACCTCTGTGTTATCAGATTGACTGTCACGTGGAATCACAGTGCCTGTGTTCAAGTAACCCTTATTTTACCTAACAATGGCCCCAAGGCCATTCACATAAGTTTTATCATAGAACTAGAGGCCCGGTGCACGAAATTTGTGCACGGGGGGAGGGGGGATGCAGTTCCCTCAGCCCAGCCTGCACCCTCTCCAATCCAGGACCCACTGGGCAGGAGACTTGGGGGATCTGATTGCTGAGGGGCCAGTGTGGGCTTTCACAGGAAGGGCCTAGAAAAGTCACAAGGCACTGGGGTTCCTCTTCATGTAGACACTCCAATCTTTATGTGATTATCTTGAGCCTCTTTTCTCACTTGGCTTGGGCAGGACAGGGATTGCCCTCACAATAAATGCTGCATTTTGATGACTTATTGTCTTCCCTTCCCCAATATTTCTGTTTAAATCATCAGAGATGTGGGTGTGAACACTAGGGTAATGATTAGGGGTGGTTGAGCTGAAAGGGGGAGGGAGGTGAAGAATAGAAAAGATAAGAACAAAAATCAATGTGGTAGACGCCACCAAGATGCCCCAAGGATTCTTACTTCCTGGTACTCATTCCCTTCTATATCTCCCTTCCACATCAAGTATGGCTGTCCTGTGTAAATAATAGAATACGGTAGAAACAATGTGTGATGTCTGAAGCTAGGTTACATTTAAAAACTTGCCATTTCTATCTTGCTCACAAAAATTGTGCAACCTGTGATATATGTTTCCTCAATTCTAATCTAACCACCTATTTGATGTTATTTTTAGAATCCCACTTCTAAGTTCAAATCCTATATTTTTAAGGTCACACTAAGCTACTGTAACAAAGTGACCCCAAATAAAGTGGCATAAAGAATATAGAATATTGCTTCCACTGATATTCTATTAATACAAGCATAGTCATATGGCTATACCTAATTAGAAGGGAGGCTGGGAAATTTAGTTTATCTGAGTAGCCTTGTGCCCAGAAAGGAGGGATTTGGGTAAGTAGCTAGTGTCTACAACCATTGCTCCTTAAAATGACTCAAGAAGAGTTTGGAAATCATTATAATTCTAAGACCACTAAAGAAATGGAGTTAGTAATTTAAAAATGTTCACATTGAAAGAAACTAAAAACTAGAGACAATCAGGTGTTGATAAAGTTAAAATGGATAAATAACTTGTAGTTAATTCATACAATGAAATACTATACAGTAATGTATACCACAGCTAGAGCTACATGCAATGACATGTATAAATTTAACAAATAATAATGAGCTAAAGTAAACAAAAATGAGTACATGTGTATAATTTTACTTGGGGAGAAATCCAAAACAGGCAAAATTAGACAGTGTTGTTTGAGGACACATGGATAGGTGGTTAAGTTAGAGAGAATAGGGAGGCAATAGTTATCACATAAGTTAGGATAGTGGTTGCCTCTAGGGAAGATGGTGACTGTGGTCAGGGCAAGGTACATGGGAAACTTCTGGTATACTGGCAATATTACATTTGCTGACCTAGATTGTGGCTTACATCAATATTTCCTTTATAATCCTATCTAATAATAGATAAACATGGTAATTGACCATACCTTTGTGACGCCTCCCATTGGCTAATCAGCGTGATATGAAAATTAACCACCAACAAAGATGGTGACTAATTTGAATACTGCAGGCAGGGTGGGACAGCTCCATCCTGCCTGCCCCGCTGCCATCCGGGACTGCTATCTGCGACCCAGGGCTGTGGTCATCCCGTGTGCGACCCAGCTTGGGGCGGCCGGGCGGGGCAGCGAAGGCTTGAAGGTGGCTCCAGCCGGAGCGAAGGCCTGGGTCCCGGGTGCTGGAGGAAAACCGGTACTGGAAGCCAGGGAAGGGAAAGCCTATTGCAAGCATCTTTTTGTGCAACAGGCCTCTAGTCTATATATATAAAAGACTAAGTGACCAGACGACTGGACAACCGACCAGTAGCTACGATACGCACTGACCACCAGGGGGCAGACACTCAACTCGGGAGCTGCCCCCTGATGGTCAGTGCACTCCCACAGCGGGAGTGCCGCTCAGCTGACCAACGGGCATCGAGCTCACAGCTGGTGAGCGCAGCTGTGGCTTCGTGAGCCTCTCCTGCAAACACTCCCTCTGCACACCCCTCCCCCATCCAAATTGGGACCAGGATCAGAACCCAGTCCCAGTTCGGAACTGACTGGGTGTGAGCCTGCGCAAGGAGCAAGGCTGTGATGACAAGTAGCGGCTGCTCAGTCATGGGCATGCTGGTATCTCCCTAGGATGGGCGCACAGAGATTGCAGTGGAGCAGCAGCGAGCCTGCTGAGCAGTGGCGGCCTCAGGCGTAGAGGGGCCAGGATGAGCAGGAGTGATATGGCACCCCCGCCCAGGCTCAGGCTCCTCCCCAGCCGCCTGCTGCTTCACACACTACTTAGTACTGTGCGGGATCAATGTGGACAGCGGGCTGGAGCCCGATGAGCTGGCAAGTAAGGCTGGGCTGTGGTGGTGCAGAGATCCACTGATCCCCACAGGCCAGGCCAAGGGACCCCCACCAGTGCACAAACCTGTGCACTAGGCCTCTAGTCTATATATATGAAAGCCTAAGTGACTGAACGACTGAATGACCAGCCGACCGGTTGCTGTGAAGAGCACTGACCACCAGGGGACAGATGCTCAATGCACAGGATCGGGCTCCCTCCTGTCTGGATCGGGCATACAGGGGTTGGGCTAAAACTGGCTATCCAACATCCTCTGAGGGGTCTCGTATTGTGAGAGGGCACAGGCCAAGCCGAGGGACCCCACCAGTGCACGAATCCATGCACTGGGCCTCTAGTGACTCCATAACTGCACATATGTATTTTATAAACCTTAAGGTATATATGATATATCTCACAATAGATTTTCCATGGACATGTAAAAGATAAGTCATCTTCAAAAAATAAAATGAAGGGCAGGGATATGCCTAATAATAAAAAAGGTTTAGGAAGGAAGAAAAAGATGACGACCGGCAAGAAGGTAGGGAGGGAGAGTGTGTGAGAGAGTGAGGGAGCGATAGAGGAGTGTGTGGATGTGTGTAGTGTGTGTGTGTGTGTGAGCTAGGGACAGTTAGGTCCTGCAGGTCTTCCAGGGGGCTGCCAAACTGGGCAGTCTTAGATGGCGAAATCCCGCTGCCAAGGCAAACACTCTGGGGAGGACACCGCCAGCACAGAAACCACACCATCTTGAAGAACAGAACTGTTTGAGACTAGGATCCTAGCCTCACCACCACCCAATCTAGTCTCAGATGCAAACCAGGACCCTACAGCCACTCAGGTAAATGACCTGAGACCATATCTGCAGACCCATGAACACCAAGACTCCAGGCATCCAGGCCGCGGATTTCTGTGAGTCACAGAGCCCATTCCCCTCCCCACCGGCCTGCAGCAGCAGCATAGTAACTACCAGACCCTCTACATGCAAGCAGGTCTCCTGCCCACACACAGCGGCAGCAGCACTACCTGAATTTGAGACTGGGTGCACGGACACGGGGAATTTGTTTCCTGCAGTGCACACCCGTGTGACCAGACCCCACACCCACACAGGGAGGCTGCGCTGAATTTGAGCCTGGGCACACAGACATAGGGATCTGTTCCTTGCAGCACACACTCACACGACCAGACCCCAGGCCCACACAAGGCAGCTGTGCCACCTGACTTTGATTCTGGGTGAGGACACACGGAAGTCTGTCTCTCACAGCACAGGAGTGGACCTCCCACCAACACAGGGCGGCTGTGCAACCCGGTCCCCCAAGCAGACCAGGGACCATCATTCTCCATGCAAGAGGCAGCACTGAGCACCAGTAACTTGACTCTGTTTCTCATCACCTGCTCACGGGATCCCTGATTCCAAGTACACGCACACTAAGAACCAGTGATTCTAATTCTCAGTACATGCACACACAGGGACTCTGATTCTTGGCATGAGGCTGCACCCAGCGACAGAAACTCCAATACTTGATTCTCAGCGCAGGCACAGGGGGACACTGACTCCTGGCGTGCGCTAGAGGACTCTGATTTTTGGCACACAACAGCGGGGTCTTTTTTTCAGCATGGTGCAGGTGGGGTTCCTGATTCTAGGTGCACACACGAGGCCGCACTGAGCGCCAGTGACACTGATCCTGGGCAAGCGTGGCTCCCACAGACCCACGGCAGCCACACGTCTTGGTGTCAGAGCTCTTCAGTGACACTTAGGTGGCAGGAAGCTCCCACTGCACATGGCCCAGGCGCCCACAACTCGGTGATTGGACCTTTTGGTGATAGTTAGAATGGGGAAACAACGAAACAAGCCCCAGAGGAAAGAAAAAGAGGAATTGCCAAGAAAGGAAATAAGTGAAACAGAGGCATGCAACATGACAAAAAAAGAATTCAGAGTAATGGTTGTACAGTTCATAAACCGGATGGACAAGAAAATCAACAATCAAAAACACCATGGAAGGTTTCAACAGTAGACTAGAAGAAGCAGAGAACTGAATT